ACCCTGCTGGCAGTCTCCCCCTTCTTCACCACCTCTATGGTGTGGCTAAGCCCCGAAACCAGTCGGCTCGGGGTGCTCCAGCGGCGAGCCCAGGCAGAAACCGCGCACGATCGCGGATTCCTGTCTGTCGCCGAAGCGGAAGTCCTCCCCCCCCCAAGTAGATATTGACACAGAGCACATGGGAGGCTAGGATGCCACAGAAAAAGATTATGCAATGATACATAAATTCTTCCCATAGAATGTCTTATCCATTTTGTGGAGAACCATTGTAACATGAAGTATTCATATGATCAGAAATAGTGCATTCCAATAGGTTATGGCTTTATGTGCTTTTAGGGGAGAGAGCAGGTCTGGACCTCCTACCAGTTCCTGAAGCACCCAAATTATTACATCAGATTTCATAATCCAGGCCGCGATGTGCTTTCTATTCTAGAAGCTGTGAAAGAAGTAGTCAAATGGAACAAATTCAAAAACTGCAAACTATAAGCTAGTTATAGTTTATATAGTCTCATCTACTGCTTTTGCTTTTCTTTTAATGATGCGTTAGACCTAAAAATGCCTTTAGTCCCAGAGACCGTACATATATCATCCTAAATGAATGCTGAAAATACCCTAATGCAGTGCATGATGTTCTAGAAAACTAGTGTTCCCTGGGGTGCTTTTATTCTTGGACATTAGTGTAGTTTTTTCAGCAGTAAGAATCACATAGTTCAGATAGCAAAGCTAAAACATTCTTTTTTTATTTATTGTGTGTGCGTGTATGTTGTAATATATGTGAAACACTTCTAGTGACTGACATATTTGAGAATAGAATCGGGAGAACACAAGGCCTAAGTGTTTCTTAAGAATTAGACCATTGGGACAGTTTCGCAATCTACCAAACTGTAAACTATGCTATTCAAACTGTAATGGCAGGTTCTTAGATAACAAGCGAAACCCCCAAACCTTACAAACCTCATTAGGATTAAGTTCAGTGTAGAGTAAAGCGACTGGGTAGTGTGACATACAAATTAGTAACTTTAAAGGTAAATGAAAACTTTATGAGGAGAAACAACATACACTTTTACATGCTGAATTTCTTGTCTCCCTTTATAGGAAGGGAGAATGTATGTAATATTCATTAGGAACACCTATATGTCACTCAGGTCAGAAAAAATTTTTGGACATGTTTTTGGTATTTATCCTTTAAGGGGACTTACCTGTTTGGGCACTGCGGTGTTTCAGATGCAATACAGGGACCTCAGCTTGAAACCACATTTGAGACCAGAATTTCTGTTGCTAAATAAGGTGGTGGTTAAAGTGACCGTATTCCATTTTATGATCATTTTTTGCCATGGTTGTTAAGCGAATTGCTGCAGTTGTTAAGTAAATCACACAGTTGTTAAGTGAATCCTGCTTCTCCCATTGGCTTTCTTGTTGGAAGCTGTCTGGGAAACTTGCAAACAATGATCACATGACCTTGGGTCACTGCCACCATCATAACTACATGCTGGTTGCCAAGCGGCCAGATTTGATCATGTGACCATGGAGATGCTGTGACCATTGTAAGTACAAGGATCAGTTCTAAGTTACTTTTTTCAGTGCCGTTGTAATTTTGAATGGTTGTTAAATGAAGGATTGTAATTTGAGGTCTTATCTGTACCAGAAAAATGCTTTGGAGTGGTAGGAGCAAAAACACAGCTCTTACACAGTACGCTTCGCAGTTCTTTTGTTGAGATCACATCGCTGTTGTACTTGGCAGATGTTTTAAAAGAGATGCATATGAGTATTGCATTTGCACTGCTGTGTGCTCTGAAGCATTTTTCTGGAATCAGATCCAAGCCATTGCATAGCACTATTATGTAGTAAGTGATATATAGTATATGAAAAGTATGCATGAGATTGTTAAATGAAACAATAATGATCTGGTCTGTGTTTTAAAAATTATTATAATTACTAGGGTATATTAAAAGCAAGCACCAGAAACACTCTCAACATTTAAAAGAATTATTGTAATTGGAGTCATAGAAATATTGCATGAGATTTCATATCTTGTATTTAAACTTTTGAAAGTGGAACATGGATAGGTATCAGGAACATGATATACACAATAGTTCTTGGTTAAGAGGATAAGAATTAAACTTACAGCCGGTAGATCAAGTGGAATAATAAATAACAGAAATTTCAGAACATTTGAAGCATAATTATTAATATATATTGTTTTAATTTGTAAACTAATGATGGGGATTTCTTCAGTTTGCTAAATAATTTTCTTTTTGCTTTCCTCCATTATCCTTCATACTAAAGTTCCAATAATAATTATTGATATTTTCAATTTACTGCTGGCAAGAAACCTTTGAATATTCCAGTTATTAAATATATATGCTGTTTTTGGAGATTTTGAAGGAGATATTTAAATTTCTTCTCCAACACTAAGATGTGATGGTGAGACCTTGCTTAAATGTTGTAATATTTATCCATTCTAAATGAGTGCTTGTGAGAGACTGTGCTTAGCCCCACATGTTGTAGAGTTCAGTTGTCTCTCTCTTCTGGGTGTTTCCTCCATGTTTTCCACTGTGAGTCATCACAAAACAAAGCTACCGGTAGCATAAAATTAGCTGTCCCCACTGCCAACCTCTATCTTTTCTATTTTGGGTCTATTCAGAGTAAATTGCAAAATGTTTTTGTCTCCTGTGGGTATGCTACTTATGATAGTGAATGGTGATTAGAGTTCTCTGATTTTGCTGAAGCTCCCTTTCAGCGTCACACCAATCAGCAGGAAAAACATCCACCAACCACAGCATTACACCAGTTGGAGAAGGAATGGCTTTGACTTCAGAGCAAAGACCTGAATATTTTGTTATCTGTGATAAGAATAAAGTGGGAAATAAGGATCGATTCATCTCATACTTTCCTATATTAATTGGTGGAGGCCTGCTCCTTTCTCCACCTTTCTGGAATTCTGGTAAGATGGGGTAGATAAAGGCATTGGAGACAATGGATCTGGAAGAAATTCAAAAAATAAAATACTTAATAGTGCAATGGTTTGGAGAGAAATAATACAGTAAAAATGCTGGCTAGAGAGGAGATGTGCCTGCAGCAGACAGATACACTCCAAAACACTTCTGTTCACTCTAAGAACTTGATATCTCCAAAGTTAAGGATGGCAAAATGTGACAGGTTTTATATACTTTCATTCTGGCCTTGGATTTGTGCCAGTATAGCTAATGATGACACAGCCTATTTCATACATCAGCTATGGATGAATGAAAGTAATTGATGAAGGAACCATGAAGGGCTTCAAATGTGAGAACCAATATCTTGAATTGCACTCTGAAGGTGACTAAGTCATGAATTACAATAATGCCTGCCTTTTCAAGAAAATTTGCAATAGGTGCATAGGAGGGAGCTATGCAATTTCTTCACCATCGTTCTCACCTGCTCTTCAAGTAGCAGCCCCAAATTGAGAAACAACTCTGCCCAGAGGTGTGTAACCAAATTCAGAGTTAATCATAAAACCTTGCTGGAATTGGTGGATTTTGGAATCCACAAGTATTCTGCCTTGTCAGAATTGTGTTTCAACCTGTTTGCCCCTATTTAGAGAGAGGTGTACCGTACAATTAGATATCATCTTCTTACTGATGAAATCTGACTCCAGGCAAATGGATGATCTCATCCAGCAATTTCAAGTAGATCTTGAATAGGAATGGGGTAAGTGTTGAACCCACTTAAGGGGCCTAGGACTATCCTGTACCATCACCAGTTGGAGCTGTCCCTTGAGGAAGGAGGGCTACTCTGTCCCTATTCCTAACTATTGGTGACAGCTCAGAAGATAATCATGATTGATGGCACTGAAAGCTGTTGAGAAATTGAATAGTACCAGGAGACTCACAGTAGCTCTATCTTCGATCCATCCAGCCAAAGATCAATAAGAGTGCTCACTGCTATCTCTCTATTGAACCTGAATCTGTTCTTTTTCCTTTATGGCAAAATTTCTCTACAGAGAGAAATTGTGTCAAAAATGGGGCAGAGGAAGCTGGTATATAAAAGGAACTCAGGATACAAAGGAGTAACAAAGAGGGTAGAGACTGGAGGATAAATACTAGTGATGAGATGTAAGAGACTATGCCTTCATCACCTGAAACATTCAAAACACCTTTGATCCTATGTACCTATGGTCTTATTTTCAAGAGAATACTGATAGAGCATTTCAAATTTTACACGTTTTAAAGCTGTGGTGAGATAATATCAACTTCAAAGGGGAAGTAATTTGTACAATGATAAAGGATAGCAATAGCACTTAGAGTCTTAGACTTATATACCGCTTTACAGCCCTCTCCCTCTCTAAGTTGTTCACAGAGTCAGCATGTTGTCCCCAACAAGGATAACTGATGACTGTTCTACTCATTGGCTGGGGATGAGATAGAAGCAATGTCTTGGAGTCTCATGATTTTCCAAGGCTAAGTGGAAGTATAGACAAGATTTCTCCCCCTTTCTTTCTCTTTGTTCATAATGAATGTTACTACTGCAATGCTATACTACTATACTACTGCTACTATTATAATCACAACAATTAAATCTTGAATATTATTCAGGAATGATTTATTAACACTTCTGAAAATGTTGAATCCTCTTGTCATATTTTTTTATTTATCTCTTCTGAAATCTTGACATGGTCCATGTTTGTATTTTATTATTAATAGGAACTTCTAAAGAATCAGATTCCTATTCTAGTTTTGTATTTAAGTGGCTTATAAACAGTAAATCAGCAATCTATGGGAATAAAATAGCAGCTGAAGCAATTTAGTTCACAATGTGATTTAAAAGCATCATGGGAAACCCTTAAGAAAAGAACTGCATCTCAGAATAGTTGCCTAAAATAAATCACATCTGATTAGGTAAATCGGGACAGCCATGTGACTAAGTAGACATTTCTTGGAAGTCCATTATGGATTTATTACTTCAAAAACTAATGGCCATTTACTATATATCTTATGGGAAGGGGCCAACTCAGAATAACTAAGGAAATCTTGTGTACAGTTTTTGAGATATTAAAATAAACATCTATAATAGCATCTGAACATACTGCAATTAGTGAAGCTGTTAAAAGGTTAATAAGTTTCCATCTTCTGACTCTTTGTATTCAATAATTGGTTTTTTTCCCAAAAGTACTTGGTGATCAAAACAAGATTTAGTTTTGCAAGAAAAGAGTGGGCAGAGGAAATCTGAGAGATGGTGATCCTGCACATCAATTTAATACTCCTAGAATTTGATTATCATTTAGCAAGCATGATTCATCTCTGTTTTAAAATTTCCAGTGGTTCTTTTTGTTGTTGTCCCGGCTTGAATTAGCATGTAATGCAAATAACATTACAGAAAGTTATTCAATCTTTAATTTACATCTCTTGTGACATATGCAAATCCCTTGTCCTGAAATATCAACTCAGTGAAAGGTGATGATATCCAGTCTTATGCCGTGTCCTCGCTTGACTCTCCATGGCGCAAATGTGCCCTGATGACCGTGATCTTCTCTTTGGCTCATGCAATAGTATCTTGATCTCATCTTGCCCTTGAGTGGAACTGCCTTACAGCTCTTCTGTACTTATTCCTCCTGATGAGGATTTGCTCAGTTCCCACTGCCCATTTTAGGTTGCTACAGACACAGTCCCTCCTTCCAGTCACTAGCAAAGCATTCTGCAGCCATTTTGGCTTAGGAGCAGAAGAGATTGTACAGTTGGTACATGGCACCTGCCACATAATGCCTGATTGATATTGCTATTAATGTACTACTGCCCTTGTAGTCATTATCATGTGCTGAGAGGCATGTCATACAAGGGTCAGAAGGATAGTGACCTTCTCTGATTGTGCCAATAAGGTGTCTTAGCACTCTTCTTTTCCCAGGATTTGTTTCCTTAGTTCCCTAGTTGTTTCCATGAACAACTTATCTCGTTATCTGTGTTCATGACAAAAGCTTGTGTAAGGGAAATGCAGAGCATTCTGGGTGCAATTACATAACCCTTCACTTTTGTACTTCAGTGGTGGTTAAGACTTTATTCATGTCTCCTAGGCATTTAAAGATGAGTAAAATGGTTTCCTGTGTCAAAATCACAGGAATGTTAACCAAAGGGATGGCTTTTGTAGTTGGTGGGTGTCAAGCTCTTGAGGCCATATTGCATTACAAAGTTTTGATGATTTGTACTAAAAGGGGAAGGCAGAAGATCAGTCTGAGGCAGATGTAAATCCAGCCAATCAGGATATGAATTCTAGTGCCTGGGTGCTACTGGCAAAATTAGGTGAGCTTTTATGTTAATTATGACCGCAACCTTTCCATTTGTTTCTAACATTATTTCTTTTTAATTTCTTTCCTTGAGTCCTTGAGACAGTGAAGTTAGCTATCATTCCCAATGCCTTTAAATGTTCTTCATAAGTTTTTCCTTCCAAGTCCCTTATCACCTTAGTTACCCTGTTCCAGATATACTTTAATTTGTTATTCATATTCCTAAAAAGTGGTGTCCAGTATGGGACATGAAATTCTAAGTGCAGCCTGATAAATGCAGAATAAAGAGAAACGATGATTTATCTTGTTTTTGATATTACATATCTGCTGATGCAGTCCAACACTACACAGTTTTTTTCAGTTGCATCACAGGTTGCTTCATGTTCAGTTCGTGATCCATTAAATTACCCTGATGTATATATTACTGCTTCCTCCATTCAATAGTCATGCCTTAAATCTTTTCCACTAAAATGTAGAACTTTGCATTTATGCCTATTGATGTTCATCTTGCTAGGCTTATCACAGTGATCCAGCTTATAAAGGGCTTCCTGAAACTCTCCTCAAGTTTTTTTTTTTTTTTTGCTATTCCCTTATTATTGTGTCATCTGAAGATTTGGTAATCATATTTTAATCCATCACTCAACTCTTTTATTAATAGGTTGTACAGTATGGGGCCTAGAATGGAGCATTGTAGTATCCTGTTCAGTATTTTCCTCCGGCTTGAGGTGCACTTGTTGGATGCCCACATTTTGTCATCTTTTTTACCAGAATCTTCAAGGGAGATTTTGTTAAATGCTTTGCTAAGGTCAAGATACACATTGCCCACTACCTTCCCATGGTTAAATAAACAGGTTTATTGGGCATGATTTATTTTTGATAAACCAACTCTGGCTCCTGTCAGGTACTACATTATTTTCTAAATTCACATGAGTGGATTGCTTAATTTTTTTAAATAAAATTTTGCCCAGTATGATTGTCAAGATGATTTTTATATATAATAGTGGCCAAAATTGTGGAAACGTTTTGGGAAAAGTGTATTTTTGAGGTTTGATGGCTAATAACACCACTTTTTTTGGAGTGGTTCCATAAAATTATATATCAATGGAAAGATAATTTAATCAAGAATGCAATGCAATAACTTTTATGAAGGATTTGCTTTTTTCATGGAATTCTAGATTTTAGGCCAAATTCCTGCAGTCTGCGCCGAATAGTCCTTATACTCAACTTCACATTGCGTTGCACCATTTCATCTTGTATACACTCAGATGATTTTCTTCTGTCACGTAGGCAGAGTCTCTTAATTCTTCTATGATCACTTGCTGTTGTGCACCTTTTCCTGCCTTTATGAGTGGTTTTGTAGTGGCTGAGTCTCCCTATACCTTTTCAAAAAATTAGAAATGCCACCTTTGGTTAAGTTTCCATCAATTTTTCTTCTAATTTCTTTATAACTGTAACCTTGTTCACTTAATAATACTATTTTACATCGCTTTCTGGGTGACCAGTAAACTCTTTGCACTGTTACTTTAGTTTTATTACATTTTACAAGCTCACTAAATGGAAGAACTCAAAAAAACCCAACCAGCTTGATAGCGATCACATAACAC